TGGGGAGGGGGGGGGGTTTTTTCTTTCTTTTTTGGCTGACTACATGGATGGATGGATGGACAGATAGATAGATAGATAGATAGATACAGGTTCGCTGGTGTGAAGAAAGAAAGGAAGGTATGAAGAAAGGAAAGGAACTGGGTGTTGACGCTGGGGAAATGCTTGTGGGGAAGAAAGGCTGGAGGGCTGGAGGACTGGAAGGCTGGAGATGCATGCTTGGTTGCGATATATATATACGCTTCGCTGTTGTGCTTTGCTGGGATATGCATGTCCTCATGCTATGCCTGTATATGCATAATTTCTCCTTTTTTTTTCTTCTCCCCCCCTTTTTTTGCGAAGAGGAGGGGGAAGCAGGATCCAGGTGAAGAGATGGTGGTAATGGTGGTGGAGATGGATCTGAGATGAAGGAGATGCTGTGGGAAATGGATTATGCGTGCTGTGGAAAAGTAGATGTTTGGAGATAAAACTCTCGCGGGAGATATGCGTGCTGGATGGACATGCTGGGAAGGGGGGGAAATGCAGATCTGGGCAAGGGGGGGGGGAGTGTGAAGTAGAGATTGCATCTCGGGAAGGCGAGAAGGTAGTTGAAAATCATGTTCCAGCAAGGGAAGAGTACGCAGAAAAGCTTCGGGAAGAACCGTTGGCGATTGGGGAATAAATGGTGGGAAGAGGGTGTAGTCTCAGGATAGCTGCTGGGAAGCTAGAGTTCTTTGTAAATTGTCGAGTCTGCCGAAACCGTACTTGATGTATTTTAGGTGATGTACCGGCCGTACCCTTCTAGAGCGTCGTGGGTCGTCAAGGATACACCGGGAAGATGTCAATGGAATGGATAGAGCGCATTGAGAATACTGGAAGTGACTGTGAAAGTTGGGAATCTCCGGTTTTCTGCTTCCTGTGCTGGACCGTCTCGTCTTGGGTATTTTTGCGCTTATTCCTAGAGTCCGACATGTCCGATACTAGTGCGTGCCGGACACGGGAGAGAGTCCCCAGATTGGTCCAAGTCCAACCCAGAGTCAGACTCGGTTTCGGCGGATGAACCAGCACTCTCAAGGTTTTCGTCAGACAGCTTGCGTTTGTCACCGGCTTTAGCCTCGCGGTAGGGGCGGTAATCCGTCATGTTTGGCACATATTCCCACCTCTTTTGGTCGAAATTCCAGTAAAACGGTTCGGGACTGCCACGAGCTTGGACAAACTCAGTTGACTTTTCCGAGTGCAGGATGGCACCGTCAAACGGTCTGGACTTTGTGACGATTGACTCTGGAATGCTGCTGACCGCCAGCCATTCATTCATGTGAGCGTCACTGGCCCACAAGGATAGATCGGATTCCTTCAACTCAGTTAAGGAGAGCCACAAAATGCCTCCATCTTGCAGTATGTCTTCCAATTCACAGCTAGGGCGATCTTCTGGGTTACCAGAATGGGGAACCTTATCAAGGATCCAGATCGGCATCTCCACATACCGTTCTACAGTTCTAGTCGAAATGGGGTCCTTTTGGTCTGGGACATGTGTCTTGATTGTCGTTAACATCGTGGCCTTGAGTACTGCAGGTACAAGTCTTGAAGTATCCAATGTCGTTATCGTCAAGCACCTTGGGGCCAGCTTGCTTTTGTTGTGCAACTTGAGAACCGCCTTTTCGGCATCACCTAATACAGGGTTAGGCTTGAATATTGATTTCAAATACTCGCCTGACTTACGTAGCGAAGAGGTTGTGGAGATGAATGGAGTTGGGTCACGTGTTGCACGTGGGTTCAAATGCCTCTGGATGCGCTCTGGGGTCAAGTCTATGTTTGGTTTAAAGGTTCCGACAGACTGAAAGGCATTTCCTTCATTGAGCATGAGACCTGGAACATCACGGTGATTGTTGTGCTTGGCTCTAGTCATGGTGCTAGCCAATGTACCGTTCTTCTCGTGAGACCATCGATATACATTGTCGGGATGCACACCACCATTTGCACCACGCGCGAGTGCTGATGGATCTGCGAAATCGCTGTCTGGAGTTAGCTGTTGTTCTGGTTGAATGTAGGAAGTCCTCACATTTGGAGTGGGTGTGTAAGAATGGAAGTGGTAGTTTCTGTCTTTTTGGGCTCTTCAGGCACAGATTGGTCGACATCACCAGAAGCCTTTGCTTTTGCACGCGAAGATGTGCTGGCTTTCTGGCCTGTCATCTTGAAGTAATCGAGGTGTGATGTGAAACGATCCAAGGAAGTGCTACTGGAGGCTTTTGTATGAATGTATGTTGTCACTTGTTAACGGGGATGAGTTGGCAATGAGATGTTAGAAGAAGAGTTCTTGTTGATGTAGAAGTTAGAAGAGTGGAGGGGTAGTTGATATACAGCAGGTAGCCTGGGAGCTAAGGTAAAGCTAGTGGATGGTTTGAGTAGAGGTAAAAGTTCAAGTAGACGTTACTTATATCTTATCACAAGTGAGAAGAGATACCAGTAGCTTCAACCCAGTGTACAAATTCTGGACATATTGCAAGTGAGATACTGTAGTCCGAGATTCAGCCAAAGCGTTATATCAAGTCCATCAATCTGCATGGTGAGCAGGGAGGTAGTGAAATAAATATAGACACCGGTATCTGGGTGCAAACCAGCCCAAGGGTGTGGATATGTCCTTGGGTCTATGAGTGCTGGGTGAAGATGATTTTCTGGCAATCATTTCACAGCAGCCAGACAATAATATATGAAGTCATGGCCCCCTCCATGTTCTGCCTAATTATGCCGTTGTGTTCTGACTTTAGACGACATGCTGTGTTGTAGTGTTGGAGGAGCCAGACCCACATGTAGTTCCCCCGCCAAGCACTGCGCGTGTCTGATTGGTGGTCGCAACCGCGTCTCAGCGAGCTGCCATCTGCGACACGCAACACCAAACGCTCCACGAGAGCATCCTCGGATTATATGACCCGTCAACCCGCACAGCTACAATGAGCTCTTCGATAGAAACGGAGATATTAAACAAGTACAATCTAACAACCTTATACCCCGCGGCATGGCCAGAGGAAAAGGACGCTGCCGATGAAGACGAGGAGTTCGAGCAACCAGCTCCCAAGGCAACGCAAAAGCCAATTCGCCGGTCGCAGTCACGATATTCAGTATTGGAACCCGGTCGCCGACTCTCGCGGCATATTCCGGGAGCAGAAAGGTCCAAGGATGGCGTGGAGACGCTCGTGCAGAAAGACGAACAAGACCCGCTGGGCATGTACCCCAGTGTAGTGCAGGTGCTGCGGGCGAAGAATGTGCAAGTCGAGGACGACATCAAGCTGCGTATGTTTGGGCCATATAGCAATACACAAGAGGCCTGTCTAATGGGCCACAGGCAACCGCTTCCTCCTGAGCTCCACTACCTTCTCACCCTCCCTCTTCCTGTCCCAAGTCCACAATGAAGCCTCGACAGACGCCCTTCTCTCCGGCCTTGACTTCCTCTCTCGCTCCATCGAGAAGAAGTCGGCCTCGCTCAAGGTCCTTGTCGAGTCCAACTTCGATCGTTTCGTCGGCGCAAAGGCGACCATCGACCGCGTGTACAATGAGATGCGTGCGCAAGGAAAAGAAAGTCTGGAGCCGCCCCGTGCGATGCCGAATAATAGGGCGAGGAGCCGCTCGAGCTTCTCGGGCCGAAAGTCGAGCGCAAACCTCTCCGCAGGCATAGTTGAGGCAGTGCCTCCAGAAAAGAAGAAGAACGCCCTGGTCAAGGAGAGCGAATATGGTGTGCATGGCATCAAGGTCCCGCTGACCGAAGTCGCTGTCAAGGCAGAGGAGGTGTGGGGCCCTGCGCTTAATGGGCGAGAAAGGGAAGAGACGCTCAAGTCTATCCTGGAATCAGTGGAACACCATCGCGGCATGTTTGAGGTTGGATCTGCAATCCAGGAGGCGATACGACACAAGGATCACGAGACCATCACAGAGGAGTATAAGCGTGCGCGCAAATATGCAGACGAGGCCCGATACATAGTGGAGCAGGCAACTTCTGCTCAGACATCACTTACCGACACCGAGGTACATCAGGTCATTGTGACAGCAAGAATGTGGTCGGATGTTGAGCGGCAGGTTGAACTGTTCAAGCGTGACGCATGGAAGCGCCTCACAGCGACACACTTCACACAGCTCCAGACTGGAAGCGAGGAATCAAAGTCGGACGAGTACCTCAGCCTTATCTCCATCTTGCTCGAACTGGGAGTGGAGGAGAACCCCATTTGGGCATGGCTGCTCTCACGCTACGAGCACCTCAAGCTGCACATCAACACTACCTGCCAGCGTGCAGTCATTGAGATTGAAATCCTTCGCCGGCATCTGTCCAACGGCGAAAAGCCGAGCCTGCGTTTGTTGCAAAAACACCTGCGCTCGGTCCCGACCAGCGGCAACATCAGCGCCGAACCCTCCAAGCTGGACACTCCTAAAGTAATTGAGTTTTGGGAACACGTACATGCTTTGATGAACACTCTGCTTTCCACAAAAGGCGGGTTGCTAGCTGAGCTTATTGAATACTGGGAGATTGCCCAGTCTTTCCTCTCGGGTCGCGCACAAAGGAATCTGCCTACAGGCTATCATGGCCAGTCATCCGTGCACCATCGGCTCAGTAGTGAAAACAAGGCTGAACTGGAGAGAGGCACTGCTGAGCTCATCAACATTCTTCGAGACCACTTGTTTTCCTTCTTTGCAGACCCGCCTATAGAGGATGTGTCGCTGCTCTTTTCGCCGCTGCCCCCGACCAGCCCAACACCGACAACCCCCAGAACTCCACTAAGTGCCGCTCTGAGTCCCATGCCACAATCGGCAACGAGGTCACGGTTTGATCCCAGTAAGGTACCGCCACCATCGCCCCGTCGAGGCGAGACATGGGAGAAATACGCTTTCTGGCCTCCTTACTCCAACGCGCTTTCGGGGTCACACTATCTGTCCAAGACACTTGTTTTGATCGGCACAGCAGCCAACGAGCTCGCATCGCTGGAAGTCCCAGAACCTGGGGGCGGTGGCCGCATCGATGAAGCACTGCGTATGCTGGTGGGTGGAGTGCGAGAGCGCTCCGTGCAAGCTGTATGTGCAGCCTGGAACACCGACGCGGAGAAGCTCAAAGTACTCGAGGACTGGACCCGTAATGTTGATCGCAAAGACACTACGAACCTGCCACAACGCTTCCTCGCTGTGCAAAGCTTCCTTTTGAACAACCTGCAGAAGATCCTATATGTCGAGGCATCAAGCAAGACCAAGATCGACATAGTTGTACCACCGAGCAACAAACTGCTGCAGATGGTCAGAAGCCAGTTTGTCACCAGCTTGTACCGGACGCTGAGCGGTATGGTTGAATGTGCTGAGAGAGGCCGAAAGGCACTTGGCGATGAGTTTGAGGTCAAGAGTGACGACCTCACAATCGATGAACAGAACGACCATGGTGCGAATGAGTGGGGTAGAGTCGATGCCAATAAGAAGGTAAGCGTCCTCAACGGTTGGAACATCCATCCATGCTAACAATACGCAGTCAATCCGGCTGCTTCTTACCCTTGCCAACATGTCTGCCTTTCAATCGGAGATTACACCAACACTCCTCAATCTCTTCGAGACGCTCTTCAGCGTACAACTCACCGATGAGACAAATCGCATCCGCGACGTGCTTTCGCAGCTCGACTCGCAGCTGTTCCGCTCCTACACCAGGCCGCACGCCACAAAGATCCATTCCACAATCGAATCCGGCATCTTCTCTCCAGCCTGGGCGCCGCGGCCCGACGCCCCAGACAGGAGCGTCGCAGACCGCGAGCCCAGCCCCTACGTCTTCACCGTCCTGCTGGACCTCGTCATCGTCCACACAGAATCCAGCACCACATCTGCGCCCCTCACCCCGCGCATTCTGCGCGCCCTCTTCGAATCCACCACGTCCTCGCTCATCCAGACGTTCCAGTCCGACAGGCTGCCCACCGTCTCCCTCCCGCAGCTCATGCAGGCCACGCTCGACGTCGAGTTCATGGCGCAAACTCTCGCCACGTACACGACGGAGCAGGCGTCCCAGATCCAGACGGACATTTACCAGGTCCTGGACCAGAAGACGGATAACGCGGCTAGAGTGCGGCTGCAAGATGAACTGGGTAATTTGAGAGTCGTCCTCAAGAGACTCAGGGAGGGCACAAAGGTCCAGTTTGCGTGCTTTAGACGCGTCAAGAGGAGCGGCACGGGGCAGACTGCCCGACGTGGGTCTCAGGGTGGGGCGCCCGATGAAGAGAGGGGGCGGCGGTAGCATCGTTCAAGTTACCTGGGCGTAGTATGTCAGGCTGAGAGGAAAGAGTTGTTTTGTACCAGGAGGTATTTTAGTCTGTTGTTAGGGCAATGCAAGTATCCAAGCTGATTTGAGTTGAGTTGAGTTGAGTTGAGTTGAAGGCGATTTACTCCTTGCACTTGCGTCCACGACGTTCGATATCCCCCCTTTGTGAACAAGTCGAAAAGAGCAGTCTTTGGTATTTGTCGCCATCGCAATCTATCGCTTTCCAACGCAGCCGCCAACACGCCCGTAATACAGGCGATGGATCCCAGAAACCAACCAACAGACAAACACAGAAAGAGAGAAAAAAAAGAGAAGAGTAGAAAAACGCCGCTTTCAATGCATGCATCTATGGTGCCCCCCAGCCGCCGCTTTGGTCAATCCAGCCGCTTTCATTCATCGTACAATGTATATATATATATATATCTATTTTTTACACGCGCCAGTCATGTTGTATGGTGTTACACGTCGGCGTCACTTCGCGAAAGCGAGTACTGCTCGAAACGGCGGAGGAGCGTCTGGTACAAGACGAGCATAGTACCTGATTGGACGCTTGTCCAGACGGCACGGGGCCCGACGCCTCTGAACCAGCCGGCGAAGCCTTCGGTCTTGTATATGATTTTCAGGCCGGTGAAGACGGACGACGTGTCGAGGGTTGCGGCGCCGTGGGCTTTCAGCGTGGTCGAGGGCGACGAGGTGGATATGGGTCTGCTTTGTGTGGAGCCTGGTTTGACCGAGTGCGTGTGCGGCGCGTGTTTCGAGGTTGATGCGGGGGAGAGCGAGGCTTTTGGTGCGACCGTGGAGCCAGAGGTGGGCTCGTTGTGTTGGGTTTGGATGCGCGTTTTGACCACGTCGAGCGGGGTCGTGATGACGCCGGCCATGCCGCCTGCTGTTGCTGCCGTCGCAATCTCGAGCGGAAGACCAATGTTGTTGGTACCCATGTACTTCTTTGCCCAGCCCCGCTCCTCCTCGTAAAAGGCGAATTGCAGCGCGGAAAAGGGCAGGTCGCGGCAGAGGGTGGCTTTGTAGCCGTGGAAGAGGGCGCTGTAGCCTTCGATTCGGGCGATTGTGCGCGCGGCGTCAATGGTGGAGCGGTAGTTGTAGCCCGAGTTGAAGTAGGGGTTGTTGTAACGGCCCTGCAATTGCAGGCGGGTTTTGAGGACTTCCGAGGGGACGTATGCGGGGGCTGCGGCGAGGTCGGCTAGGAGACCTGGCACGGTGTTAGCATACTTCAGAGTATGGCTTTGCGTGTGGGCGTACCCGCTGAGAAATATGCGACTGACGGAGTGACGCCATAGTCGATCATGGTCCGCTTTGTCCATTCGTATGCGCCGAAGAAGCACACTGTGCCAATGAAGGATCCAAGAAAGGCAGGCTCCACGCCGCCATAGAGTCCTCTCTTGAACCCCTCTTGTCGCCAGATGGTGTAGTATGTGTTGCCCATGGATGTGTACTTGGGGGGCATGTGGGGGTCGCCCTGCTGGCGCGTCTTGACCGTGTCCAGTGAGTGCATCAGCATGTCGCCCGTGGTGCCTCCTATGCCTCCTGCCAACATTGCCTGTAAGTGATCAATTGGCAGTCCTCATCGGTGCAGGCTAGGCATCCTCACATGTAGGTATGGCGGCCGCGCTGCTTCGTCGTCTATGTCTGCCTCCTCGACTGCACCCCGCTTGGTATCCTCCATTGGTGACTCCATTGCACGTGCTGTGTTTGCGACATAGTCCCGTGTGCCCTCGATCAGAGTGCCGGCAGAGTCTCCGTGGGTGAAGAAGTTGGCCACGCGGGCAAGTACCATGAGAGCTTATAGGGCGGCGGTGCGCTGGGTAAACAAGGGCGGCTGATGCAGGTACAAGACAGCAGTGCACTCGGGAGATATAAGAGCACTCGGCTGTAAAAGCAAAAAGTGACGTTGCTGCGCTGCGGCCTGGCAATGCGGCCTCCGTCTAGAAAAATTCGGCCAAGACCGGAGCTGCGCCACAGTGCCACGGTGCCACAGTGCCACGGGGCGGCGGGCGACTGCGCCACAGGGAGCACGGGGACCTGACGGCAACCCAGCTAGTGGCGATAAGAGACAACACCACTCAGCAGCCCTCTGATATCGGAGGCTGCCCGGGGCGAGCATGGAACAAGGCCAGCGTGCCACGACACTAGACAGCGCAGCATCGTGGCCGGTCAGTACGAAGTCGCTCAGCTCGAGTCCTCCCATAGGCGCCGCCCTTAGCGCCTTTCCGACCCACGTGAGCCCGAGCCCCAGCCATCGTGTTTACATCGCGTACGGGTAGCTTTCGCTCCATCCGATCAACACCACACCACACTGCCCCCGCCGTGCCCTCGCCCAGCGCCCCCTTCTTGCCTCGACATCTATACCGTTCTGATCGCGACACTAGCGCGACCTGGGCCCTGCCAATCACCATGTCGCACTCCTGGCTGTCCAAGAAGCGCAAAGCCGACCTCATTGAACTTGCGCAGAAGGCTAGGCTCCCCGAGTAGGCTCACATCCATCTTGCGCATGTGCCGCGAAACTAATCCTCGGCCTGCAGTGCAGATGGTCTTCTGAAGGATGATCTGGTGGAGATGCTGGCCAACCATCTCAACTCAAACGAGACGACCTTTGCCAAACACCCTGAATTCCGCGACTACTATGGCCGCAACGGATCCCCCGTGAAGCGCGAGCGCCTGTCGCCTGCAGAGCCCTTTACTGCCACCAAGACGACGCGCCGTCGCACACTGATCAAGGAGCCTTCGTGCGTCATACCCGAACACGCGACGCGTGGCGCGTTGAAGCTAACAACTTCATAGTCCAGAGTCGGCACCAGCACCAGCACCAGCACCGGTACTGGCACCAACCCCCGCACTGGCACCACAGCGCAGCCCCGTTGTGGAGCGTAGCAGCGCCGTGGAGCGCAGCACTGCCCTGGACCGCAGTCCTGTCCTGACACGGACACCCAAGTCAGTCACTCGACGTGTCTCCGAAGCCGTCCCCCAAGTGGATATCCCTGCATCGCCTGCGCAACTTGCTGAGGTCGCTGACCAATCGTTCCAAATCGTCAAGAGCAAGGCCACAGAACTATGGGACAAGACGCGCATCGATGAGCTCAAGGAGTTTATCCGCGAAAACGCGAGTTCCGTTGCCACCATCCAAACCATCATCCTGCTTGTAGAGGCGGTCGGACTGCAGTGGAACACCCTGGACACGACAGCTTTGTTTGCTATGCCCCCCGCACTCAGCTCGTACTCGACCAGCGAGCACGTTCGAGGCCCTAACGGATGGGCGCTTTTGACAGCTGAATGGTGGGCCCCCGCCACTCTCTGGTCTCTCACAAGCTGGGTGTTGCCACTCGTCTTCTCATACTTTTTCAACCTGACCCTGCGCTCAAACACTGCCCGCCGATCAGAGGACCGCCAATACCCCGCTGACCCCCTCATCTTCAACATCACCAGGGCGATACTGGCCTACAGTGCATACAGAGAAACTGTCAACACTGCACTTGTCCCGAGCGCCTGGGGTCCATTCTCTGAGTATGCCGTTGCACGCGTCGGAAACCACGTACCCGGAGGTTACTACGGTCTACAAATCAGCTCATTAGTTGGCATACTCGTCAGTCTGTACGATGCTGCATTGAAGAAGTAGATGGTCTGCCTCAAGATAAAACACGACCGAGATTGTAGATGTTGATCTTCAATTGCTTGTGGCACTAACGGCGTCGGGATATTTGATACCTCTAGCAGGAGCGGGCTTGACCATTTGAGACATGTGATTGATATACTTTGTTAATACTAGCGATTGTTTCGGCGACCTGCTTCGTGCGGTACTTTTCACACGCCATCAACGAGTGAATCTAAGAGGGGGAAGGATAGGACAGGAGGAAACCAGCCAGTGCAAGACTGCGGCTTGAAAGCGGTCCGAAACCTGCTGCGGCAGCCATGGCCAAGAAGCACAGCCGCAATATCTTCCTTTTGGGGTAGGCTGTGGCGGAGACATCCACTTGTGGCAATATCTGCTTATCCGTGTATTGTAGAAGGGTTTTGCTTTTTATTGGCGCATCATCCCTCGGGCGTTATACTGTTCTAGGGCGATTCCATAGCCCATGGGAATCTAGGCGTACGAATTACATACGCTTTATCTATACAATGCTGGCCTCTGTCTGTGTTCAAATCAAACTGTCCAGAATCAAGATCTGCGTCCCCAAGCATGTTGTACATCAAAGTCGGCTTGTGGCTCTTCTCAAATACTTCTAAGCATAATCACATGTATGGTGGTTTGGTAGATAGAACTGCAGAAAGGCACATCAGCCACCGGCTTGTTGTGGTATTCAGAAAGGTATACTCTGCAGTGTGGTCATAGTCCTCCAGTCTCGTGACAGGAATCATCCATGGTGGAAGTGGAGTTTCAGCCAGCATACTCTCGCTTCAGTTGGCCTAGCGCAACAACGCCACCGATGCGGGCCGCTGAGCCCTTGTAATCCACGCTACACACCATCTCATCTCTTCAGTCTAACCCACCTGGACCTCCAAGCACATCCCGTGTATCCAAAAGAGATACATCCTTTGATCTCACGTGACTATACTTCACTTCACGTAGATCTTCCAAAATGTCGGCCAACTTCCTGCACATGCTGGAAAACATGCAGAAGCGGTCCAACCGGTAAGCCATTGCTGTCGAAGATGCCGAGATATCTCGCTAACAACCATACTCAGCACCATAGAGGATCTTCGAGACTCGGATGACCAGCTCGCAGGCATGGACGGCATGGAACTCCGGGGATGGGCGCAAGCCAATCCCACGGCGCCGAGCCGCGATCTCAAAGACCCTGTCGGCCAGACTCTGCTCGCCGCCTTCAACGGCGAGTTTGACGCGCTAAAGAACTACTGCGAGATGATGATCAAGCAGCTCGGCGGCGACGATACTGCCCGCGAGACCGTCAGACAAGACGTATATTCCAAGCACTGGGGTCCCACCAGAACCCCCATCTACGCAATGCTGCTACCTGCACTACACATGCTGCCTGCGAACAAGCAGGAGCTCCTCGGCATTGCAAAGTACCTAGTCAACGACCTCAAGGTGCCTGTTGACGGCAGGGACGTGCTGGGGTCGACGGCGCTGTTCTGGGCCATATCCACCAAGCCCTATGTGCAGCCTGAATACGCGCAGCTCCTCTTCGACGCGGGCGGCTCGGTAAACGCGAAAAACAGATTCAATGCTACGGCTGCGAGTGAAATTGCTCAGGCAGATATCCACGGCGACACGACCAAGAACGTGCAGATGATGAAGTGGTATGTGCAGCATGGCGGCGATGTCGATAACAAAGATACAGATGGTATGAGCGTCAAGATTCTCGTTGAAATGATGCGGAAAAAGGTGCCGGATATGGCGCGAGTTATTCAGGAGGGCAGGGGAGAGAGAAAGGAGGGCGAGTGTGCGACGTGTGGGAGGGGTCCGGCGGCTGATAAGCTGTTTCCGGCTTGTGCAAAGTGTAGGAAGGCGAGGTATTGCTCGCAGGAGTGCCAGAAGGTGGATTGGAAGACGCATAAGAAGACGTGTGCGGCTTCGTAGGGGTGTGGAGATTACAGTGGTGAAGGGATGAGAGAGGTGAAAAGTTGAGTTAGCTGGGACTTTTGTCGTGGAAGCAAGTGGCTTGCTCCGTGGTCCTTGGTGGTGAGTAATGGCGAGACTAACGGTGCATCAGCTCTGTTTTCATAGCATGGTCGCAGGACACCGAGCGAAAAATAGCCGTAGATGGCGTCGAGATCCTGAGGTACGTATACTGGACGCCATTTGCAAAGGATAGACCGAGACAGTCGAGTCGCTATTTATCACACGACGTCCACAGCGCTCCTAAGCGTTGACAGCCTCGTCACCGGATGTACTGGAGGAATCAATGTGGCAGGCACAAGCAATCTCGATGCAACAGAATCCTCAATCCAATCCTTTTCCTGCAATCACATCCTACATGCTTACTCCAGCACCAATACCCCAGCACCACCACAGCGCTTTAAACTGTCACCACCCAGCAAGCCACCACCAGTATTCCAGCAACCCCTGCAGCCCTACTTACACTCCGCAACTACCAAGTTAAACCGAACAAACCAAACAACGCATTTCAACATTAACAATACCTTTATTGTCTTCATCTCATCTCATCGATGCATACCCTCCATCCATCCAAGCCTACCAGGGACATCCCGGCCAACCACCCCCACCACCATAACCCCGCCAAACCCTCTCCAGTGATCCATAAGCTGCACAAGCGTGAGTGTGGAGATGACCCCTTCTCACCCTCCCCCGCTAACGCTAATCCTGCTGCTCACACGCTTACACGCTTACGGGCTTGACTAAGCAGCACGTCATCGGGCTCTGCACACATACGGACACACACGGGGAATCATCATCGAAATGGGTACAAGGGGGAGAGCGGCAGTTGTGTATATGTATGGAGGTATGTATACGGCGTAAACGCTACATAGTTATTTTTGTGCTTTGTATTCCGCGTGTAAGTACATGTGCATGTATGCGTGTCTTTGATATCTAGAGACAGACACACACAGAGAGAGAGAGAGAAAGAGAGAGAGAGAAGTGGCTACGCCATCTCCATCGTATATCTCAAAAAGAGCGATACGCTAAGCTGAGATAAGATGCTGATCTGATCTGATATGAGATGAGATGAGATGAAATACAGCTTGTGTGGATTCTCCATCCATCCGTCCATCCATCCATTCATTCATTCATACTCGTATGCACAACGCTTCAATATACCCAAGCTAACGTTTATCTACGTATGTAATTCCACTCTTATCCTAACCCATATGCATGCCCCCTCGTCCCATGCCCCTTGTCCATGCCCCTGTCCATGCCCATATCCATGTCCCTGCCGAACCAACTAAACGCTAAACCAACCAACAAACAAACAAACGTAAAATAAAACACCACAAAAAGACAACCCCAGACCCAGAATCCCGATAAAACCAAGCGTAAGACTAAGCGTAAGACTGAGACTAAGACTAAGCAGGCGTCATGTCCATGTAAGTAAGCCCAAGTATGTGTACAGTAAGCCGGAAGCAATAACGTGTTTTATCAGTAAGCGGCCCACATCAGTAAGTGGCCCACCCCACCAAACCTGACGCGATACTCTCCACAACCACCACTATGCCGCGACAACAACGCTCTGTACAGACTTCTCGTGAAGGTAGAGTTCTTCTAGCATCTCGCGCGCTTCAAGAAAAACGTGTTGTAAGCCAGCGCCAAGCTGCTATGCTATACGACGCTCCACGAACAACGCTCCGACGACGCCTCCGCGGTACCAAGCCACGATCAGAGACAGCCTCCGTCAATCGCAAGCTATCAGCTGTCGAAGAGCAGTCTCTTGTTCAATGGATCATAGAGCTAGATCGACGAGGCTTTCCGCCCCATATTATCGACGTGCGACGGAGTGGCAGA